GGTAGGTGATTTTGGTTGGATTGATGGTCATATAATCACATCCTAAAATTAAGCATTAAATTTGCAAAATTACCCTAAAAAAGTCCCAAAATATTTATATTTAGCACTAGAAATGGAAGGGACATAGTAATTATCATCAATAATGACCGGAAATCATAATTTTTTTAAATATAATTGCAAAATAAATTAATAGAAATAGATATTTATAAAGCAATAAAACAATGGTAATGGTATTATCATTACAAAAGTTTTAGAGAGATAAAAGTTAGAGACCAACAAAAATCTTAGAGAGATAAATATAAGAGGGTGAGAGCCAAAAAAAAAATTTAAGAGAGAGAAATAAACTCAAGAAAGAGATTAGAACTAAAAATTTAAAGAGATATTACAAAAAAAATTTTAGAGAAAAAATTTAGATAGAATAAACAAAATTAAAGATAAAAAAGTTCACAGGTGACAACAATTTTAGAAATGAAAAAATCTAACTTTCCGAAAAAATAAGGTTAAATAGAAAGTCAAGTTTGAACTTGAGAATTGTTGTTAAAAATTATTTTAATCGTGCTAAAATCACTTCCAAACATGTTCCTAATTCTACTAGCACTCCCAAACACACCATTAGTTTAAGAAAACAAGTGTGTTTTGTTCCTGAGTTCTGTCGAAATGATCTGTCACTTTATTATTATATCATTTTGTCGTTTTTTTTTAATTCTTGTGCTCAAGTAATGTTTTTATTATTACACATCTAAATTATTGTGTTAATCTTAATCAAAATAACTACTTAAACAAAATTATAAAATATTCCTAAAACAATATAACTTAAGATCTCAATTTAATAATGGAAGGAAACAAATATTTATTAATTAAATTTTTTAAAAATCATTAGAAAGGCAGTGGAAGTCAACCAACAAAAATTCAGTTTACATGACTTTATGCTTAATAACACTACCCATCAAATACAAATTTTAGAACTCTAGGCTAAAAGACTTCACATCTCAAACATATACTAAATAACTACCGACTAATTTAACTCTCTATATATTTTTTAGAAAGCATTTTTCAAAATATAAGCAAATTTTTAAAACTAAAAAAAAAAAAAGTTTTTGAAAACTTGTGAGAAAATATGTGTGCAGAGATTAGTGAAAAAAAGGTGCTTAGCAACTAGAAAGAAGCTAATGTGATATACATGTGTCAATATATATAAAAAGTAATTAGCGTACATGTCAAGTGAGAAATCAATAATGAACTTTTAAGAAATAATAATAATAATGAACTTTTCAGCTAAAAGCATCCATTTGAGTATTGTATTTAGTCAATCTGTGTGTATTTATATTTATATAATAGGAAAGAACAGGTGTTGCGAAACAAGACTATTCCGTTAGTTAAAGTCTTGTGGAGGAATCATGCAGTAGAAGAGGCAACATGGGAAAGTGAGGATCAGATGCGCACTCAATACCCTCGTCTATTTCCTTAATTATTCTGATTGAATTTCGAGGATGAAATTCTCAAAAGAGATAATATTTTGTGAGGGTAGTATTGTAATTTTTCAGTGAAAAAAAGAAAAAAAAATAATAATTAAGATATCTTAGTTGGAAGGGTAGTTTGGTCTTTTGACAAGAAAACGAAACATGGGACACGTGTGGTGTGTGTGTGTGTTGTGACGTGTTAAAAAAAAAGAAAAAGAATAGGAAAGGGAAAGGGGAGAAAACGAAGGAGGAAAAACAAAGAGAATGGAAAAGAAAGAGGGCAAGGAGAAAGAGAAGAAAGCAGAGGGGAAAGGAGAAGAAATTGAAGGTAAGGTTTGTATTTATGGGTTTTGTGAAAAATGTCATGAGAAGTTTGAGTTCTATGGATATTCAATGAACGGAAAACTCCTGTTGTTCTTGGATGAGAAGGAATGGTAAAATTGAACTTGGTTGAATTTTATGGTGGAAATATTATGAGGGAACGTTGGTATTGTGATGAGTTTTTTCTTTTTTTGGGTAAAGAAGGGTTCCATGGGAGAAAGAAAGGCAAAAGAAAGGTAAAAGAAAGACAAAAGAAGTGCAGATTTAAGGTGGGTATGGAATCTGAAGAAGGGAAGAGAGAGAGAGGAGTGTGGGGGTTGGTGTTGAAGAGAGAGAAAGAAATCAAGGAGAGAGGTAATTGATAAATTAAGGTAAAAAACAAAAAAAGGAATGGGTATATGTGCGTGAGATGGAGTGTGAGAAAGAGAAATTGATTGGGTTTGGTGGGACCCACTCGTAAAAAGGAAAAGTGGGGAGTTTTAATGAAGAGAGAGAGAGTGAGGAAATTGGGTAATAAGATATTTTGAAGTTATTATGATTGAAGTTTGAATTAAGTTATGTTGAAATTGGAATTAAGTGAGTTAAATTGATTTTGAATCGATATTTCAGGTCATACAGGAATTGGAGCAGCGTACCAACCAAATTCACCTCGTTCATAGGATTTGTGAGTGGTTATTTTACTAAA